AAGTTACATAATTAAGCTTAAAACCTGATTTATTTTATTTTTCAAATTCCAAAAGTACCCTCAATTACAATTTCCTTATTATGTGGTGTGTATTAAGTGTTGTTTTCCTCAATTTATTTGGTGAAATTTATTGCAAATTTGTCTACACATATATAATCCGTTGGGAACATAAAGTGAGGAAATAATTATTCAATGTAAAATAAGTCTCCTTTATTTTTATTTTTTTTGGAAACGTTAAATTGAAGTTGTAAATTTTGTAGGTCCATTATCTTAGCCAAAAAAGAACGAATTATAGGTAAATCCTTAGCCCAAAAAGACACGTTGAGTTGCAAATTTTGTCAGATATAGGTAACTTCATATTCATATAGTCCTTAACCAAAAAATAAAGAACGATAGGTAAATAGTTTACTTGTATAATATAGGTAAATTAAGGACCTGAAAAATATAGGTACCTAAAAGATGTTTTACCTATCCCATATATTTATATTGACAAAAAATATACGTACCTAAAAAATAATTTACCTGGAAAATATAGGTACCTAAAAAATAGCTTACCTACAAAGATAGGTAAAGTATTGTACATGCAAGGAAAAATAATTTACCAAAAAATAAATAACACGAAAATTAATTTACCTAAAAATAAATAACTTGGAAAATATAGGTACCTAAAAATAGTTTACTTAAAAAGATAGGAAAATTATAGTTTACTGAAAATGTAGGCACGTTTGTACATGCCAAATTGATACAAAATACCTCCCACAGCGTATATTTAAATTGAATATGTTTTCTTCTTCTTTTTTGAAAAATAGTGAATATATTTTCTATGATGTACATTATTAGGTTAAAAGTTACATGGACATTGGCGAGCGAGAACTGAAATTAATTAGGATTTGATTTGTTAGAAACATAATCATTAAAATTGAGGATAAAATTATTAAATGTTAAAGTCAAAAAATAGCATTATCGGATAGGAGGAAAATGCTAGAAATTAGGAACTGTTTTTATGAAAAACAATGTAACATTAGTTTACAAAACCTGAATGTGTACGTGGCATAGATTGTAATTTAGTGTGTAATACTAAGACAAATAATATCTTACATGACAACTTATTTTAAATTTGAGGTTTCGTTGGCAGGAAAAGAAAATGTTGAATTTCTGTCTAGAATATATTAGTTCTATGGGCCTTCCTCTTAAGAACTCATCAATCAACGATGAAAACAATGATATGTGCTAGAATTAGACGAAGATGTTTATCACTGCCGCGCGCCACCTCTTTATCCTCGTTGTCGTTATCATCGATGTTGTTGTCGCGGCCATGCATCGTTACGTCGCAGCCACCACCACCATCATACTTCATACATCTCACAACTAGCTGTCAATGCATATTTCAATCAACCAAAAAATAAGAGTTTTTAAGACTTGTGGTACATAGGTGGATACATACATACATTGGGCTACTGTCGGCAACATTGTCGGTGATCGATGTAAGAGACTTGCTCATGCGGTTTTCTTTAAAGGAAGTCCAATTTCAACCTAGCAAGTGTAACAAAGTGGCTCATGCTATTGCCCGTTTTGCTTTACACGAACAAGGTCTTTATTATTGGTTAGAAGAAGGCCTTGCATGGCTAATATATTGTATTCTTGATGACCTTATTGTAACCAATACTTCCAATTAATGAAATTTACTTCTTTTCAATAAAAAAAAGAAAAAGATACATACATATACACATATAAATTTGAAGTAATGATATACTGCAATATAGATGGTGTAGATGAAATATATAAATGCAAAGGTGGTTTTCGTATGCGAAGTTCAATTTCAACCTAGCGAGTGTAACAAAGTGGCTCATGCTATTGCCCGTTTTGCTTTACACGAACAAGGTCTTTATTATTGGTTAGAAGAAGGCCCTGCATGGCTAATAAATTGTATTCTTGATGACCTTATTGTAACAAATGCTTCCAAGTAATGAAATTTACTTCTTTTTGATAAAAAAAGAAAAAGATGCATACATACATACGCATATAAATTTGAAGTAAGGATATACTGCAATATAGATGGTGTAGATGAAATATATAAATGCAAAGGTGGTTTTCGTATGCGATGTTCATGTTTAATTTTCACCAATTAATTGTCCCTGTCTTAAAGTTTTAATGACGCAATTGGGGTCGCTGGCAACAAGCATGCATGCTGATGCTTATCCTCAGAATGATTGGCTGCTCTCTCGTCCTCATTCAACTAAAAAAATAAGTATATGCACCTAACTTCACGTCTCCTATAGATTTTTCTAAATTTTATATAAATTTATTTGGTCAGCTTTACTTTATATGCATATTTTTTCATTTCAATCATCCACGATTTACAATCAACCAGAAAATGATTTGGGGTGCTTTTTCAAATCCCTTCGTGTTAGAATGAAAGGTGTGAGAGAGGATTACTTTTCTAAGCTTTATGAAATGTCTCTAATAATAAAGGCCTCAATCGTGGCTTGATGGCTTTTGGTGGCATGATAGTCTTGTCAAGCCCTATGGTGACGTAGTCCTTGACTCATTATCCCCCACCATCACAAAAGAAGACAACATAAAAGCAATGTTGGTTCTAAAATTCCTTTACATTTATTATTATTCCAAGTTTAAATCAATACTTGTCATGATGAGCTAGCAAAGGACATAAAGATAGAAACACCACATATATATATAGCGAGAGTCGCACGAGTCAATATGAACAAATTATCATTCAAGTCCAGTTCATATGAGCTCGAAGTTTAGAATTTAGGGTTTAGAGTTCATATTTTATAGAATACAATTCTCCTTAGGCTAAAAGCCCAAGGCACCATGCTAGGGTATGCCACACACTTTCGACTCATTAAGCTTTGGTTTTTAGTGATTCAAATTTGGAAGTAGAAGTAAGCTGGCGCTAAAAGTTTATACAACTATTGTATTCTAATCTATAACTTAAGGATATGATGTTCCAAATTCCCACGGATTCTGATTCTTTTTTGTTGCTTCGATTATAACATATGAGTTCTTTCATTTTCGCGTGTGAGTGTACGTGGTGCACAATTATTATCTTCAATTTCAACATTTACTAATATAAATAAACAACACGCATGGTGCCGAAAAAAGAAGTGTTCATACTGAGAATGTTTAAGATATTAAAATTGTATTAGGGTCTTCATTATGGTTTTTTTTAGTACAAACCGATGGTCTAAATTAAAAATGAGGGGGATTTCTCACATATACATAACTAAGATGTCATGGCGTTAGTATATGAGACCTCTTGTCTGTAAGTCAAGACCTTTTTCCACTGGGTTACACCCCATTGACAATAATGAATGAAATATTTTTAGCCGACATTACACCAATATCATATTTTTGTTCATCACTGTTGATCTTATCTCGTGAACCAAATTTTAGCACCTCCAACATGAGACGTTTGACTATAATGAATTAATGCTTGAAATATTCGTTACATAGGGTCAATTAGCCTTCACTGCATTGAAAAGGCAATGCCACGGTCCTTTGACTTGCAATCAGCCGTTAAATCTAATAAGAACCCCTTATATATTTTTAGCTGTTGGAAGTCTAAAAGGTCGGGTAAAATAAAAAGGTCAAATAAGATGTTAATTAATTAACCAATATAATAATTCGATCCGATGACGTCGCTAATTACTTAATAAGAAGGGTTATGGAAAATTAAACTACATTTTGACCTTAATTTAGATCTCGAACCTGCTAGAATGCCTTTCTCTCTCTTTCAATAGACAAACACAGTTTTTTAGAGAACTTCGGCGATATGATGAGAGAATTTCTTAAATACTACTAAAATGATGAAGGGAGCTTAACACCTGACTCCAAGTACAACCATCTCAATAAGAATGTCTTTAATCATATCAGAGGGACTTCAAACCACTCAAAAACATCTAGACTAAACATATAGACAGCACACAGAGTTTGATAATCTTCTCTATGGTTTTTGGCCCTAGCTTCCAACTAATCCCACTTAATGTTGTGAATATGTGACACAAAAAGGGAAAAGTTTAGGGATAAATAATTGACGTACGTACCTTTTTGGTTGATTCATTTCTGCATGCCAACAAAAAGAAATGTTAATCCCATTCGAAATGATGTAAAGTTTAATGGTTTTTCTAAATTGGACGCATATTTTCTACAACTCTTTCTTTATCGTCACGACATTTCCTACAGAAATATGATTAGAAAATAATGAATATATAGATGTTATTTTATTGACTAAAAAGTATTATTAGAGGATCAATCTACACTTCGTCCAAAAAAGAAAAGAAAAGAGGATCAATCTACCCCATACAACAAGTTGTGCATTTCCCTAATTTTACCAGCCAAGCCCTTTTTTTTTCTTTTTAAACACCAGCCAAGTCCTTTCTCTCTCAGAAAAGCAAGCATTTCAAAATCGAAAATGCGAAAATGAAATATTTTTGTAATTAATAAGAGTCCCCCACCACCAAAGCCCCACATTTTATCAACGGAGTCATATGCTTATATTATATCCTCATATCACTTTTAATGTCGGTCGGTCCTTTTGTTTTTTGTTTTTGCTACCGTCCTAATTCCTATTATAAACTACATAGAAAATTGGATTGTGAATGATTAAAAAGAAAACTTTTAATAACATCCAGAAAAATATCATCACGGACCCTAGTCAAGTTGGTTAGAGGGAATATGCTCCCACTTTGCAGCAGAATTCGAATTCATTCACGTAATTTAAATTATATTAAAATAGATTATCGTTACATAAAAAAAGAGTGAATGTGTTGAACAAAAAAAATGAGTGAATGATTATTTTTCTTGAAATGCCAAAAACAACTCTATAAAAAAAAACACTCAGGTAGTAAATGTGCTGATGTTGTGCAATTAAATATAATTCAGATTCGGATATAAATCCCATATTAATTAAACCGAAGAAATCAACAATCGAACCAAGTGGCCTCGTCTGTGCCACAAACTAAAATATATTTTGCAATATAAAGGGAAGATTTAATATCATCATTAATATAAACGTAAACGTTTTAAAAATACAAAATAAAAAATTAATTAGCAGAAACTTTAATCATATTGAACCACCAACATCTGAACCGGTTCCACCAGCTGGCCGCCCGGCCGGTCGGTCTATCTCTATTACATCCCCTACTTAATAAAACCAAAATTCCATAACTACCTACTGGTAATTATATTTACTTCTCTTATAACCTTTGCCCCTTATTATTTACAATTTGTTGTAATTCCGATTTTGCCCCTCTATTTAACGTAAACTTAATTTTTAATTTTATCTTCGTCAGCCAACTACCGTTCGATCGGCTCAGCACTCTACATCACCGAACAACCATTTGGATTCTCGTCGCTGAACATCTGGGGAGCAGGGTAGTGTTCCATCGGCACAGCGTAGCCATGGCTCGAAGAGCCTTGGCTAACATGCGCCTGGTGCGCTTGGGCCTCCATGACGAACTTGTTGTGGTTGTATACGTGTCCTTCGTCGTACCAATAGTAACTGGGAGGAGGGTAAGGGTACCCAGAATACTCCATCTTGTTCACCTCCACCTTGGGGGCTCCACCGCCGGGTGCGGCGGCGACAACTTCTTTCTTCTCGCCTCCACCGGCGGCAGCTTCTTTCTCCTTCTTCTCGCCTCCGGCTGCGGCGTCTTTTGGCTTAGCGGCGGCGCCATCATCTTTCTTGGGTGGGACCACTTCGACGGCCCTCCTGAACTTCTCTCTGAGGTAGGGGACGAGTTCTTTAGCGTCCATGAAGCCCTTCACCGTTACAATGTCTTTGGGTGCGTCAAAACTCACCGTATTAACACCTGCCAACAACAAAATGCACTTCTTTAGATATGAAAATGACAAAATTACCACTTGGAAATACACATGTGAACTTAATTTTTACTGAGCGAATATACCCGTACGGCTTTATTTTTCTATTAATTTTGACTAATTTGTCTTCTTATGCAATTTATTAAAATATTAATTAAGGTTTAAGAAGCGTGGTGCCGGTGGGGTGCTTGCATCATCCTTGATTAATTAATTTAATCCAAATTATATATATATTATGCCTTGAGAAGTTAATCCAAATTTAATCCAAAATTGCCATTGATTTCCAAATTATATTTATAAAGCCTTGAAAAGTTTCGAGAATTGAGATCGTCTCTCACCTTTGAACTTGGAGATTTTACTCTTCATCTTCTGCATGCACCCGTCGCAATGCAATCTAATCTTCATGACCACAGTGCTCTGAAACCACCCAACAAAAGAAAAGAATTAGCAACGAAAATACAACCAAATTAAGCTCGAAATACAATGTTTAAAATAGTAAATAAGTACCAATCAGCTAAAATGCATCGGAAATTATACATGAGGGTGAGGTTTACCTCTTTGGGTGCCTCTTTGGGCTTTTTCTCCTCAGCCGGCTTTTTCTCTTCTGTCTTCTTCTCAGCCTTTTCCTCTGCAGCAGCTGGCTTTTTATCTCCACCGCCATCTTTTTTGGGCTGAGGAGAAATGAGATCTACCTTCTTCTTGATCTTCTGTTCCAGTTTCTCTTTCAGCCCAGCGGGGTCCACAGTCATTTTGTTGGCTGCACACTCCGTCTTCACTTGTTCAACACCTAATTTAATTCACAAAAAGATCGACCCAATTAGCCAACAATTAATAGGAACCGTGTTTTGTACGTAAAGATTGTTTTAGCCCAACTAATCAAGCTTAAACTACACGACGGAAAATGCATGAACGCAATTAAAGTCAAAATTCTTAAGTGTTTGCTTGCTTCCGCAACCAAAAGCCCAAAATCTAATCCAAATTTAATAGATTAGTAGATATTAATGGTCAAATAAATAGACTTAGCTACCCCTTTCCAATTCCCATCCTATAATTTTGGACCCCTTTTTGGGTCCCCAATTTTCAACGGTAAAAATCTCTGAGCTGGACCATGGAATGCGGATTTGATTCCGGTGAACTTTGTAAAATCCGAAAAACAAAACCCAATTGAAAAAAGCGAAAATCGGAAAAACCCAGAAGCCCAGAATTCTCATGTGATTGAAACTTGATATGAAATTGGTGAAGCTGTACCTGGGAAATTCTTAACAGCTCGTTTGATTTTCTTGGCGCACCCCTCGCAATGCATGTCGGTCTTCAAAATGACGGTGAGCAAGCCGTCGTC